CATATTTTAAGTAGAATTTACCCTTTTTAAAGACTGAAAATTTTTTTTTCTTAAATTCAGCTTTTCAAATTATTTGACTATGAGTAACTCATTTAATTTAGAACTGTCTGTGAGTTCTTGGCAATCTGAACACATAGTTAGAAGTCTTTGCAGAGTGAGAAAGCACTAGCTTACCAATTGTTTTCCAAATGTAATGGAATTCTCGCGAGTCCCGCATATAATTAATGAGGCTTGTGTGATGAGCTCTCCTAAGCGTTTGTCTATGTGTTGATTAATTTCTGTTTTGCACTTATAAAGCTTCATATTCTACAGCCCAAAGTTTTCTTTTTTTAATTCAGCTTTCAAACTTTTGCACGGATCCCGGGCACTCTGCCCATAACTCCTGATGAATAAAGCAGTCCTGCACACAAAACTCAGAGTGAAGACCAATGAAACCAACCAAGTGTCCCAGCGTGAGGCTTCCAGATGACTTTGATTCTTCACCACCCTTTCCAGAATTCTTACAGAGCCAGGGAAAGACCCGCATGCTCAAAGCGCTCAGCACATTTGCTGGGAATAGAGTACATACAGATTCGGCACATACTGAGAAACACACAAGGTCCGTACATTCAACATGATCATTGAATGTTGGGTGTGGGCTCAGACACCTGTTATCCCAGCATTGGGGAGGATCAGAAGTTCAAAGTCATTCTCAGGTACTTAGCGAGTTTGAAGACAGCCTGGGGTCACTTGAGACTTTGTCTAAAACAAACAAAAACCAAACCCAAACAAAACTCTTGAGAAAGGAGAAAGGAAGGCAAGAGACAGAACTCATCTTGAAGCTCCCACAATGGTAAGCATCACGCAGCTTTCCACCTACTGTTGCAGTTAATTTTCGCAGCAGCCTTTGTGGTGAACAGACTTGTTCCCACTTCACAAATGAAGGAGCAGTGTCTGAGAGAACACCTGTAATTTGCTGAGCACACAAAGCTACAGAGCCGTGACGGGAGCCAGACTAAGGTCCACAGAGCTCCTGGTCTCCCTGGTTCGTGGGGGTGGGTAGGAGTGTGTGGGGGGGGTAATTTGATTCTCATTCGCACTCCCTAGGTAGCAATTCTGGCTGTCAGTTAACATGGATGGGGTGCAGGAGGGCAGGTGGAGGCTGGAGTTTCCACGGGAGCAGAAAGGCAAGGCAGAAGGCAGAATTCAGGGTGTCCTTTTTTGGAGTGATTCATTAGGGCACAGTGGCGGATGAACCTTCTGAAGCCCACACTGTAACGACTCAGGAGGGTTCTGAACTATGGAAATTCCCACCATAGTCAGACTGGAACACATCCAAGCCCGCCATTGTCTCTCCTTAGTGTTTCTCTGAGCGCAGTCCTGGGTCAACTCCCGCTGGAGTTGCAAAGAGTTTGAGAAAATGTAGGTTTCTGGGCCTCCCCTTCTAGATTCCCTGAAGGAGGGGCTGTGAGGTGGGCCTAGGAACCTGCATCTGACTCGATGTCCCTCCCTCTCTGGGTGTCAGTCTTGCTCACTAAAGCCTAAAAGCTCAGAACAAGTTCCCACTGCTTCCTCATTTTCCTTGAACAGCTTTTAAATACCACAACCAGGACTCCTGGGAACACCTAGGCCTTGGTTTGTCACCATTTACAGACAGAAAATTAGAAGAGAAAATGAGTGAGTTATTTAGCCAGCCAGTCAAATTTCTAAAATGAGAAATAATAATTAACAACCAAGCCCACCTCTGCTCTCCTGTGCACTAAGATCGGGGTCTAACTTACGTCACTAAGATTCCCATCCACTGGGAGTTACCACAGCCAGGGAGATGGAGCCCCAATTCTTAACGCAGTTACTCTTGCCTGGAAGGTCACAATGACCTCTTAGCAGCTAAGCCATCTCCATTAGGAAAGAAAATTTAAGACAAAAGAAAGGAGGGATAAGGAAGGTAGGAAGTGGGTAAGAAAAGGAGGGAGAGAAGGAAGGAGGGAAATCAGGAAGGAAAGTGGGGAAGGAAGGGAGGAAGGAGTGTGGACTAGAGGGAGAAGGGAGTGTGAGAAAGGGAGAAAGGAAGGGAGACTGGAAGAGGGAACGAGAGGACGGGAGGGAAGGAGAGGACAAAGGAGAAGGAAGAGACCAGCAAATGAGGCATGGAAAGTAAAGGAAGAGTCAAAATGATTCCCTGTGGGTGTGAGCCAGCAGTTCAGGGAGCAGGGAACCTGCAGTCTCCAAGGCACTCACACACTCACACAGGGTAGTTACGAAGGACCCTGGTGCACGGCAGGGAAGGGCTAGCCTCGCCTCTCCTGTCCTTCCCATCCGAGTCCACCAGTTGGATCCCCACTGTGGAAGCTCCCACTTCAGGTGCCCGGAGCACCTGGCTTGGTCTGCACTGCATAAGGGCTTGTGGGCTTCTTAGAAACTGGTTCACTGCTGCAGGGTTTGCCGGCCCTTTGCTGAACACAGAAGGCTCTGGGGTGTGGAAGTCACAAAACAAAACAACATGTGGAGTGACCCAGAGCCACCTGAGGGCCTCAGCCCCTGACATCAGTGGAGACCAGGAGAGGAGCCAAGGAGAAGGCTGCCGTCATCCACAGCACAGGCAATTGGGAGCAGTCTGGAGCTTCAGCCTTCCCAGACATGGAACTGAAAAGGTTGAGACTGAAAAGGAAAACATGTCACCTTCCTGCCAAAATAAACTGTGATGAAAGTTTGGTCCCTCTGCCTTTCAGCCAAGCATTTCCTGTTCTGGCCTCCTCTGTCTGCCTCGAACCAGCTCAGATGAGGGGGAGCTATTTTTAAGGTGCAAGCACCCGAGACTAAGAATGAGAGAGTTACTTATTTATAGTTACACCTTTCAACTGTTCTTTCCCTCTCTAGGGACAGAGACCAGGCTTAGTGTTCCCTTTGGAGCTGAAATCACTGGAGTGAGAAGGGCTTCGGAAGGTCACATGGCTCTGTCTATGGCCCCTAGCCAGGACCTCTGTCCTGGGGACTCTAAGTAGGAAAGAATTCCTCCTATTAGCAGAACTCAAATCACGTGTCCTTGAGATGGGCTTTGTTAGAACAGACATTTTGTATAGTAGGTGATTAGGAAATGCATTCATTGTTAAGGAATCCAAAAGTAAGTCTTTCTTTCCCTGGCGCCTTTAAAAAAATACGAGTTCCAGGGGCTAGAGAGATGGTTCATTGGTTAAGAGCATTCATTCTTGCAGAAGCCTGGAGGTTTGGTTCTAGGTACCTACATGGCGGCTTACAACTGTTGTTAACTCCGGTTCCAGGGGATCCAACTCCCTCTTCTGGTTTCGCTGGGTACCAGGCATGCATGTGGTGCAGAAATATGCTATCAAACCACTTATATACATAAAATAAAAATACTCAATCTTTAAAAAACAGATGTACTTGGAGAAAAGATGCTAGTATCATGTAAGCAAGTATTACCTAGCTTACATAGATTGGTACATTCACTACACTTTGTGTTTGTAGAGTTACAAGCTCTTTCTGGTATCTAAGTTCACCCTTCTTCTTGTAATCTGGAGATACTTTCTTATTGTATGAAATCAGTCTGTTCTTAATAGCAAACCTTGAAGGAACCACTAGAACTTTCTGACAAATGAAAGAGGAAATCCCTCCCTTTTAATGGGCACAAAAACATCATTGTGGGTTTGGCTGTTGGCCTGTTAAGTCCAGTGTCATTATTTTCTTCCCAGCACACACCCATCTGACATTGTATTTTATTGTTTCTCTCATTGTAAGCATTGTGAAGGTTCTGTTTAGTCTTTAATTCACCACTTTATCACAAGTATCAAAAACACAAAACATGTTCAATATTCATTATTTAATGAATGCATTTCTATTCACCTTACTCGTTCTGGGTTGAGACTCTAACAGGTGGTGCTCCCTAGCCATGTGACTTGGGTGTGGTCTGAGTATCCCATCTCCCCAGGAATCTATTGCTATTAGAGCCTTGGTTTCCAGGGTGGGAGACAGTTGAACCTCTGAGAGATGGGTACTGATGGGAGGTCTGAAGTTACTGGGGGAGCGGCCCCCAGAAGAGATGGGATGACAGCTGGAAGAGTCTTTGCCACAACAGAGCTAATGTCAAAGGCAGGCCCTAGAACTACCAAAACTCTGAGATTAATACATAAATGTTCTCTCTTTATGAAGTTAGCTGTCTCAAGTATTTAGTTATAGTGATGAAAATCTGAGGATTACATCACACTTTTCTTTTTTTATTAAATGACATTTTCCTAAATATCCAAGCACTCACCTTCTACCTTGGACATTATTACAAGAATTATTTCAAGGAAACAAGGATGGATTCATTCTAAGTCCACTAATATCTATGTATTTTGAATAAATCAATCTTTAAACCCAAAACTCTAAAGAATGAGTTGGTAGACAGGATGTACTTTCAGTATTTTTACTTCCTCTACTTTTGATTAATTTATTGTTTTTTGGCCAGTCAGACTAATTCATGATTTAGCTCTTGCCCCAGGAAAAGGGATCCACACTGCGTCGGTATGCTTGAGTAACAACTGGGGCCACATTACTCAGGGAAGAGGTAGAGAAGACTGCAAACCATTTCCACACAGAATCCCAGTCTAGCAGACCCATCATACAACTGAAGAGATACAGTTGTATACTTAAGTCTGATCCAGAATGAAATACCATTTACACTGGCTGCCTGTCAATAGTACTTGGCACATGGTAGTTTAAGAAAGTTTTTTTTGCTGGATGTGTTATCACATGCCTATAATCCCAGCACTCAGGCATCCAAGGCAAGAGGATCTCAAGTTCCAGGACAGCCTGGGATGAACATAGTGAGACTCTGTCTTGGAAAAAAATTTTTTTTTGGTCATTGACTCATTAATGGAAATTTGATGCAATAATGATATCTGGGGTAAATCATTTAGTATGTTTGCTTTTGGGCAATTTCTAAGTATTATTTGGGGGTTGCCTCTATTATTCTAAATACAATGAATGGCATAAAAGAAGGAACAAAATTCTAGCTAATCACTTACCTTTTTGCTTAGATGGAGCCCATTAGTGCCCCCAATGTTTCTCTGAACTGATGGTGGCACTTGATACACATCTTGTTCTGGGGTACCATGGCCAGTAGGTACTTGGTAAATTCCCTGATTCTGGTAGGAGGGTGGTACTTGGTAGATGGTATCACGAGATGCTGCCTGTGAATTTGGCACTTGATAGAGTTTCTGTTGGCCAAAGGTCTGATGCATAGGTCCAGGAGTAGGCTGCTCATGACTGGAGGTCTCTTGAACTGGACCAATCAGAAGTTTCACCCGGTTGCCTGGGACGATGCCTTGGCGACCATGTAGGGAACACAGCCACCATCCCTCTAGTCCTCCTGTGTTCTGCTCTATGACAGTTAAGATGTCTCCCTTTCGGAAGGCCAGCTCCTCAGCACACTCGGGGACATTGTCATATAAGGCTCTTGCCATAAGATTCTAGGGAGAGAAAACGAGAGAAGTGTGTTAGAATGTTCGGTCCATCTCTTTAGCAGTTATACAGCCCACGTGTTTAGGGACAGGCACAGTTCCTGGAAAAAGAGAAGAAATATGAACAATAGCCTGCGAGAAGGAAAGCAGATGCTTCAGACAAAAGACAGACACAGCTACCCTGTGTCTGCCACCAGTGACATCAGACGGACTCCTCAGCTCAAGACCCCAGAAGAGATCTTCCCTCCAATGGTGGGTGCTTTGCCAAGGAGTTGGGCTAGCACTGCCAAAGAGTTATGAAGGGGTCACCAGGCAAAGCATTTTTCTAACTTTCTAAAAGTGAGCTGAAGGGGAATAATGTTCCAAGCTGTTCATGCACCACAGTGGACTGTTCTCAATGTTTTCATATATTCCAGGCAAAAAAATAAGTCAAAGAAAATCCTAAATGGCACATACTACAAACAGAAATTTTATTCGGCATTGAAATGTAAATAGAAGTACACATAATTGTACCTTGGCAGGGTTTCCCATATCTTTTATGATTAAGGAGGCCCTTGGATGCAGGAGAACCCACAAGCAAAAGCATAGAGATGTGCTATGGTAATCAAGCAGGGACACAGTGTGAGAGTAGTGTGTCTTTCCAGATCTGACAGTGGAGAGGGACCAGGAATGCATCCAGACATTGGTCTGGTCTATCTTATACCTCTTTGAGGGTTCTTCCTTACTCTGAGACATAGCCACCTCCTTCTTAAATCTTGCTATTCCCATCTGAAAGGCTGTGCCTTCCTTTCATGGGCCCAGAACACTCTCTGTCTTTGTATGAAGGCCTGTCTGGCACATCCAGTCCTCAGCAGACAGCTCAAGGAGGCATTGAGCAGAGAGTGGGCAGGCAGTCTGTGCTGACATTCCTGGAAGGCTTTCAAAGGCTCCGAAGATTCCCAGCACACTGGCAGCCAGTCCCACATGCCTGCCCCTTCCCAGAGTGCTGAGAATTAGGGGAAGATAGGGAACCCATTGCGGCACTGGAAAAGGTAAATGTGACCCCTGTCATATGTCAGTTAAGCGTTTGGATGCACTTAGTGTCACTGTAGTGGGGAGTCATTTATGGAGCAAGAGACTGCTGGTTGGCTGGGGCCTGCTTATGACTTTATTCCACACCATAACATATTTGTGGACTTTGGGGCTGCTTTTCTTTGGACTCTTGCCCCCGTGTTCCTCCCCAGAAATGTGGACTTGATCTCTCAGCCCCATGCTTTTCATTTCTTTAAGACGGACATGCATTAATCATCTTCTCCTGGACTCTGCCTGAAACCACAGGACTCGGATTGTATGTAGTTCTCTTCTGTAGAGTGGCTGTGTATGGGAGGGGTCTGCCTCTGCTCAGGAGTGTGGAAGAGGCCCAGTTCTACTGCTTTCCATTTTTCAAGTGATATAAAGTTTGTTTTATTTTCATTACATATTTAATTATTTTTATTTTTTTTCATACAAGATATTTTGGTCATGATTTTGCCTTCTCTCAAGGCCCCCTAAATCCTTCCCATCTCCCTACCTAATTAACTTCATATTCTTTCTCTCTTCCTCCTCCCAAAAACAAACTAAACAAAAAAAGGACAAAACCCACAAACCATACCACCAAACAAAAAGCACAGACCAAAAACAAAAATGGACTATGTTTTCATTTTGTGTTGGTCATCTACTTTTGAATCTTCTTTTTCTTTAAACTTGGCACCTTGCTATACTACGCAGGCAGACTGGACTTAAGAAATCCTCCTGCCTCAGGCTCCTAAGTGCTGGGATTAGAGGTACATATCAGTGCAGATGGCTAACCAATCTTCTTTTAGTGTGGATGGAGATGGAACCGCACATATCATCACTAGGAGAGATGAGTTCTCTGAGCTCCACAGGAAGCAGTGAGGACAGCTAGAGGGAAACTCAAAGCTTCTGTTTCAGATGAGGGTCTTCCTTACGAGCAGCTGTATTCCAGGAAGCACTGGGTTCCTCCTGACAATGAAATCTCATATAGAAGATGATAAAATCTGGCCACATCCTTGCCTCATTTTTAGAGCCATTAAAGAATGTGCCAGGATGCTAAGATCTCTGTTTCTCTTTTCCCATATTTTGGGTGTTCTGTCACCGTAAAGAAGAGTCAAAGGTTTACAGAGGACAAGATTCTAATCCTTTGTTCCAGATCTCAGGGAAAGGATTACACCAGGATTATGATTTTAGAGCTTGGAGGGAGCTGGTGGCTCTGATCTGTCCTATTCTCCTGGGCCCATTCAATAACTGGGAATGGTTAGCCCCTGGATGAAATCAGAAGTAATAGATTTGGGGCAGCCCTGTGGGAGCCGAAGATTGATAGCTGTGCAGTCATATTGGCTTCAAAGAAAGGAAAGAAGAGAAAGAGAAAACAGTAGACAGGCAAAGGACTGCAGCTCGGTCAGTCGCAATCAGCTGGAGGTATTCACAGCTGGGCCTCTTCCAAGTCCTGGAACACCACGAGGTGCTGAGTGGCGCGCCGGGCCACACTTGATTAGAGGCAGATAGAAATCCCAAGTGAGTCTGCTCCATATGCTTTGTATTCTGCCTGCCCCCCTCCACCCGTGACCTTCCCACTACCTGGCAGGCAGCATGCTCATGCCTGCACATGAGCCTAAGGGATGTTCCTAGGATAACCCCAGAGCCTCCTCAGCCATGCAAAAGTGGGCACTATTGGTGAATTCTCCTGCCCCATTGTCCACAACATCTCTCCAGTGTTCTCACTGAATAATGGGATTCAGAAAGAACTTGACCCAGTTGTTGGTGGGCAAGGACCTCCCTGCCCTGTGTCAGGCTGATACCCATTTATACACCCTGGTAGATATCAGCTTTGCCTAAATAAGACTGAGTTCTTTAATCTCTATGCAATCTAGAGATAGTTGATATATATAGCTAGTCACTCTCCTAACTAGCTCTCCTAAATAACTCTTTATTATTACATTTATAGTTACATACCCCTGTAGAGAGCTTGTGAGCCTGGAGCTCTGTTTTGAAGATGAGGACACAAATTTGGTGTTTCCTCAAGACTCACACTTGGATACCAGAACTGGACAGAGAACTAGGGTGGCTCACACTTGGGTATCAGAGCTGGACAGAGAACTGGGGTGGCTCACACTTGGGTGTCAGAGCTGGACAGAGAACTGGGGTGGCTCACACTCGGGTGTCAGAGCTGGACAGAGAACTGGGGTGGCTCACACTTGGGTGTCAGAGCTGGACAGAGAACTGGGGTGGCTCACACTCGGGTGTCAGAGCTGGACAGAGAACTGGGGTCTTCTAGGTTGAGCCTCTTCTCTGGGAAGCTACTTTAACTTTCCTATCAGTGCCCTGGCTGAGCTCCGTTCAATTATACAAGAAAGTTCTGAAGGTAACCCTCTTTTCACCCCATTTTTATGGAATAAACCAATTCTTTGGGGTTTGCAGTTCCAAATGTGTTACTCAGGCTTTCTCCTTGCCTGCCATATTGTCCTCATAGAACAAGGTGGAGGTTGGGTGCTCTTGTGAGTTTGCCATGAGAATGAAATAAGTGAATTCAAGTAAAGGTTGCGGCACTGCTGGAGACACAGCAAGCCATTGTGGAATTTTACATCATTTGTGGGCAGCACTTGACTTCAGGCTTCCTAGTCACTTCCCTCTTCTCAGTTTTCAATCAAGAAACAATCCTACCGTTAGAGGAATGCCTCAGTGGTTAAGAGCACTGGCTGCTCTCCCAGCAGACCTGGGTTCAAGTCCCAGTTCCCACATGACAGCTCACAACCCTCTGTAACTCCAGCTCCAGAGCATCCACTACCCTCTTTTGGTTTCCAGAGGCACCAAATATATTCCAGAAAATAAAAGTAATTTCGAAAGTGTGGGGTAAGAGGCGTGACGTCTGGGTGTTTACTTGGTGAGAGGGTAACAGTCCAGAAAAAAAGATAAAAGCCAGAACATAGGGTCCTCACTCCAAAGGATACTAACTCATGGGAGGGCCAATAAAGAGTTAATTCCTACTTTAGAAGTGGGGGGATGCTCTCCTTTATAGGAAAGGCATGATTCCCTGAGGCCCCAAAGTCAGAAGCTCTTATCTGAACATCTTAAGAACACGCCAGGGAGGGCAGAAGTTCTCTAGTCAAGATCTACTCTTTCTCAACCCCCAGCCCCTTGGATGTTTAACTCTGGGGGTGGGGAGAAGGTCAACACAGAAACAAACCAAGGAGAGATAGGAGTGCTGGGTAACTCTACACCCTGCTGGATGCCCAGTTTCCAGAGATTGGCAGTTACAAAGGCAGAGAGTGCTGTTGGGGCAGGGTGCAGAACTTGAAAGCCAGAAGGCTCTTCAAGGAGTTAAGAGGTCAGCTTTTCCACTTGACAACTAAGAAAAAAAGGAGGTCCAGGAAATTAATGATTTGCGAAGCCACCTGGCTGGAAGACCTTAGGACTTGGGTATGAAGCCAGGCCTCCCATTTCCAGGCTTCTGGAAGGAGGGGAGATATTCTAAGGTGACACTTGTGCTGCTCCTTTTGGCTAGCAGACTTTTGAGATAGTGGACCCTAACTAAGCACTAAATTGGAATTTCCCCAGGAATCTCCTGCGGGGGGGGGGGGGGGGGGGGGGGGGGGGGGGGGGAGGGGCGGAGGGCGGGGAAGGAAAGGCTGAAGCCTGGTGCCAGTCAAGAGGAACTTGACTCTCAGGTAGAGATTTCGCACAGTCCCGCCAAGCTGCCAGACCGTCTTTCAGAAGAGACTGTAGGCAGACGATGAAGGAGCTGTGATGGACAGGACCACACTTGGACCAAGACTATTTGGTTATGTATACCTCTTGCCCTCTGTTCAAATTTAAATCCCCTACCAGTGTCCTAGAAGATGGGCCGGGGGCTCACTGGAGCCTTTTACGTGCTCTTTTCTCCAGTGTGGTCATGTTGAATAAATCTCTCTCTACTTCTCACTACTCTGCCTGACTCCTTTTCCATTTCTAGAATGGGAGCCCAGTGTCTGAAA